TTGAGCCACCGCGCCCAGCCCAGTGGGTTTTTTTTTTTTTTAATGGTGAGACCAAGGTTTTGGATTTTGGGGAGGAAGACATATAAAGTGCCATTTTTCATCACATCTTATCCCGGGTACATACTATCATGATTCAGTGTTGATGTTGACCTCGGTTACCTGACTGAGACTGTGTTTATCAGGTTTCTCTACTGTAAAGTTACTATTTTCCCCCTTTCCATACTGGTCTCTTTGGAAGAAAGTCCCTATATGCAGCCTACACTTACGGGGTGGAGAATTATTTTAATTCTTCTGTGTGGGAGATTTATCCTTCCTCCCCTATTAATTCAATCATTTGTTAATATCACTATGCACTCATGGGTCTTACTTTATACTTTGGATTATAATCTAATACTTCTGTGTGAATTTGTTCCAGCTGTGGCCATTGGTAATTCTTTGAAGTTGCCTGCTGTGTGCCTTTGACATACTACATCAGTATAGAGTTTTGTTTGGTTTTGAACGCTTCCTTACTCTTTGTCATTTCAAGATGTTTCAGGTTCTTCATCTTGTATATTTTCTGCACCACTCCTAGAATCAGCCTTTTTTCTCCAAGGAAACTTGGTTCCTTTTATTGGATAATAGTATTAGAAACCACGATCTGGGCTATTTATGTTCCTTGCTCCTGGGGTTATGATACATTTTCAAAGCTGCCTTTCAAAGATAACTTTATCAATGCCATGTAATACTGTTCCATACGACTCCAATCTCTGAATAACTGAGTGTCCAAGAAGCTTTGGCATTTCATTAAGCAACAACCTGTTCCTTGCAATACAGCTTAGACTTCTAGGTTAATCAGTTGTAGTCTAGTTTAAAATTTAAAGCGCTTGGCTTTGAATTTCCAGTAATTCAAATAGAGTAAAAAGATCCAGGCTGGATCCAGGCAGTGGCTCATGCCTGTAATCCTGCACTTTGGGAGGTCGAGGCAAGAGTATCACTTGAGCCTAGGAGTTTGAGACCAGCCTAGGCAACAAAGCAAGACCCTGTCTCTAAAATATAAATAAATGAATAAAAATTAAAAATTAGCTAGGTGGCTGCACACGGTGGCTCACGCCTGTAATCCCAGCACTTCGGGAGGCCAAGGCAGGTGGATCACCTGAGGTCAGGAGTTGAGACCAGCCTGGCCAACATGGTGAAACCCCATCTCTACAAAAAATATAAAAACTTAGCTGGGCATGGTGGTGGTACATGCCTGTAATCCCAGCTACTTGGGAGGCTAAGGCAGCAGAATCCCTTGAACCCAGGAGGCAGAGGTTGTTGTGAGCCAAGATTGCGCCATTGCACTCCACCCTGGGCAACAAGAGCAGAAACTCCATCTCAAAAAAGCCAGGTGCAGTGGTACCTGCTAGTAGTACTAGCTACTTGGGAGGCTGAGGCAGGAGGCTTGCTTGAGCCCAAGAGGTTAATGCTGCAGTGAGCCATGAATGTGCTACTGTACTCCAGCTTGGGTGACAAAGTGAAACCCTGTCTCAAAAAAGAAAAAAGGTAAAAAGCTCTAACAATGTGAATTGGATATGTGCTTAAATTATGGATGCTTGGTTCTTTTCTTTTCTTTTTTTCTGAGAGTGAGTCTCACTCTGTCGCACAGGCTGGAGTGCAATGGCCAATCTGATCTCGGCTCATGGCAATCTCTGCCTCCCGGGTTCAAGTGATTCTCCTGCCTCAGCCTCCCAAGTAGCTGGGATTACAGGCATGTGCCCCCATGCCCGGCTAATTTTTTTATTTTTAGAAGGGGCAGGGTTTCACCATGTTGGCCAGGCTGGTCTGGAACTCCTGACCTCAGGTGATCTGCCCACCTTCGCCTCCCAAAGTGCTGGGATTACATGCGTGAGGCACCGCGCCCGGCCTTGGTCATTTACTTCTTTTTTTTGAGACGGAATCTCGCTCTGTCGCCCAGGCTGGAGTGCTGTAGCGCAATCATGGCTCACTTCAACCTCTGCCTCCTGGGTTCAAGCGATTCTTCTGCCTCAGCTTCCTGAGTAGCTGGGACTACAGGCACGCGCCACCATGCCTGGCTAATTTTTGTATTTTTAGTAAAGACAGGGTTTCACTATATTGGCCAGGTTGGTCTCGAATTCCTGACCTCGTGATCCGCCCACTTCAGCCTCCCAAAGTGCTGGGTTTACAGGCGTGATCCACCATGCCCCGCCTTGATCATTTACTTCTCAGCACTAACACAAAGGTGCTATTTTTCCTCCAAGGAAAAATCTATTATGTAATAAAGATAAAAGAATATGTAGTTAAAAGGTAATACATTTACAAGGTTTGAAAGTAAGGCTGGGTACGGTGGCTCATGCCTGTAATCCCAGCACTTTGGGAGGCCGTGGCAGGTGATTCATGAGGTCAGGAGTTTGAGACCAGCCTGGCCAACATGGTGAAACCCTGTCTCTACTAAAAACACACAAAAAATTAGCCGGGCGTGGTGGCGGGCGCCTATAATCCCAGCTACTTGGGAGACTGAGGCAGTAGAATTGCTTGAACCTAGGAAGGTGGAGGTTGCAGTGAGCCGTGATAGCACCACTGCACTCCAGCCTGGGCAACAAGAGGGAGACTCCATCTCAAAAAA